TCCGGGCTCAAATGCAGAAGGCGGTGCTCCTCGATACCGCCCGCATCGTCCGCCGGTTTCTTTCCCTTTCCCCCTAACCCTCGGCCGTTTGGTCTCCCCTGCCGAGGGCCTCCATCTGGTTGGACTTTTATTTATTTATGTATTTTTATATTTATTTTATGTTATTGATATTTATGTATATTTATCTTTTCATTTTCATTTATAATTATATATTTATAGAACCCAACCGGATGAGAAAACTATATAGATACCCCACAATAATAATAATAATAAAATTATATATTTATACATCCCAACCAGATGAGAAAACTATATAGATACCCCATAATAATAATATTAGTTTATTCACTCCACTAATTTTACATCATTACTTACACTATTTAAATAAAAAGTTCCATTCATTACATTGAGAGGTTAACATCGGCAGCCGTACTAGTATAAACTGTGCCACGGCTGCCTGCGCCTTCCACTCTGGGAGTTCAAATGTTATTACATAATAGGTAAGTTCTTATACAAAATTTTTTGCAGACAATATTTAAAAATCATTACAATCAAAAGTTAAAATTAAAACATGCAGGTAGATACAAATCAAATAGAAATAGATGCAAGATTACCACGAGGTGTGTTTGGTGTATGGTATAATTATAAGCAAGAAGCGTAGTTGCATGAGGGTTAGAATGTTTGTAAGATTGGTTGGGTGTGTGTTACGAGTATTAGAATATGTGGGTTATGTAAATGTGTGTATGTGTGTGTGTGTGTGTGTGTGTGTGTTTGTGAGTGTGTGTGTGTGTGTGTGTGCGTGTCTGTGTGTGTTTTTGTGAGTGTTAACTGATGTGTGTAATTGAGGTTTGCTATTTAAGGTTTTTGACCTGTATAATATTTTCACTTAGAAAATAGAGTAAATGGGGCCCTGCACTCTATTGTGAAGAGTCAAAATGTGTCGAAAAAGGCACGTATGGCAATTCACAATGCTGTGTTGGTCCCTACTTTAACATATGGTAGTGAAAGTTGGGTGTGGCAGAAGAAGCACGAGAGTAGAATGAACGCAGTAGAAATGCGGTCGTTAAGGAGTATGTTAGGGCTGAATCTTAATGACAGGGTAAGAAATTGTGTAATAAGAGAAGAGTGTGGTTTGCAAGATGATGTTGTGACCAGGATTAAGAAAGGAATGCTTCGGTGGTTTGGTCATGTGGAAAGAATGAATGAGGAAAGAGTGACAAAGAAAATTTATGTTGCAGAAGTGAATGGCAGAGTCGGAAAGGGACGTCCTAGGCGAAAATTTATCGACCAAATTGGCGATTTATTGAAAACGGGCCAAATTAGGAGTACCCTTAACCGACGAGCATGTATGCGGAGGTGTATGGATGTGAAGGAGGCGAGAGAGGTGTGTCAGGATCGTGCCAAATGGAAGTCTGTAGTCTCTGCCTACCCCTCTGGGTGACAGGCGTGAGTGTTTATGTATTATAATATTTTCAATATCATTAAACTCTAGGTTCAGAACCAATCCCGGGTTGCGAATTTACATTGATTTAGGGTTAAAGGATAAATATTCAGAGCTTTGTTTGCGATGTTATAGAGATGGGAACTTATAACAAAGTAATGCCGTTTTGCCAAAGTGGTTCTGTGTGAAGGTGTTTTGCAGACTTTGGTCTTATTACGCTTTTGAGATGGAACGTATGGCAGTCCCTTATGCTTACGAAGTATTGTGTGTATGATAAACAGTTTTCTTACCGTAAGAACTGAACATTCACGGTAGAGGAGTGTTGTGCTATACCTACGCGGTTTTTTATAAATCACTTTTAATATTGCACGCTGAGCCCGCTCCAGGGGAAGCAGTGTACTAATGCTAGTTCCACCCCATGAGACAATGCAGTATTGAAGCAGAGATTGGACAAGCGCATAGTAGACACACATTAGTGTGTCGCAATCAGCAGATTTCCTCAGTTTGTAAAATATAAGAATTAATTTTCTAATTCGGGCTGTTAGTGATTGAATGTGTAATGACCAATTAAGATGATTATCTAAAATCAGGCCTAGGTATCCTAAGCTACGTGTTGATGATAATTGAGGACAGTCACAGCTGTTATTAAATCTATCACATGTGTGTGCCCTTATACAAAAGTTAATGGAAGGTTGAGTAACAGCCCGAGGGGAGAATGTTATGTACTTCGTCTTTTCTAAATTTAGAGTAAGCAAATTGTCGTCCAAACATCTCATTACCTCGCTGAGGGCACATTCAGCGTAGTGTTGAGCCCGACCCCAATTCTCACCATAAACAATCAACGCCGTGTCATCTGCATAAGTGACAATTTTGCAGTTTGGTAATGAAAGTTTACACAAGTTGTTGATGTATTCTAGGAAGAGAGTTGGGCCCAGAACGCTGCCCTGTGGTACTCCATAAGAGAGACTGCAATCCAGACTTTGGTAGTTACCTAATTTGACACATTGTGAGCGGTTTGAGAGGTAGTCGCTAAAGATATCCAAGGCAATTCCACGTATGCCAATTAATTCAAGTTTTTTTAATAGTAATGGTACAGATACAGTGTCGAATGCCTTCGACAAATCCAGGAAAACTCCTACAACTTTGTGACCTACATCAAGGTGCGTAACAATAGTCTCTGTAAGATTCAAAGTAGCGTCATCAGTAGATTTTCCTTTTAAGAATCCATACTGATTTTGGGCTATTGCGTTTGTCTTTTCTAAAAATTTTATAAGTCTGGAATTTAAAGCCTTTTCCAAAATTTTGGATACAATAGTCAGCACCGAGATGGGTCTGTAGTTCCCTATCATACCTCTATCTCCGTTTTTATAGATAGGACATACAAGAGCTCTCTTGAGAATGTGTGGAAAAACTCCTGAAGCAAAACATTGATTTATCAAGTGGGTCAAAGGTGGAATAAGGCTACTCCTTGCATTCTTAAAAACTTGAGTAGGAATGTTGTCAACACAACACATTGAATCTCTCTGTGAATCAATATGAGGGATGTTTACAAAACTAGTCAAACAACTACCTCTTCTAATTTGTATTTTATTAGCGAGGGACTGACCTATACTCGCAAAGTATTCATTTATTAGGCTAACTGATTCATGCGGGTCTTCGGCGAGGTTTAACAATTCAGTGGAGTGTAGAGTTTGTTTCTTTAGACTAGCAACTTTATTAATAGTGTTCCACATTTCCTTGGGATTATCTTTATTCTTTTTGAATTGGTTTTTTTCATATTCAGTTTTTAGCTTTTTTAAAAGATTATTGCAGAAATTACGATACCTAGAGTAGGTTAGTTGTAATATGACATTGTTAGAATATATCTTTGCTTTTTTATGTAACTTGTCACGATTCCTGATGCATCGTACAAGACCAGGTATTATCCAGGGCTTAATAGCTCGTTTTCGATGCGGGACGTAGGCCAATGTGGAGTGGGACGAAATTGCTTTAGATATTATATCAATTAGAGAAACTGCTGCTAAATTTGCGTTTGCAGCGTTATATACAGCGTTAAAGTTTGTAACGGATAATTCCTGGACTAAACCTGAGTAATCAATTTTCCTGATGGTAGCTTTGGCTTGATTTCTTTTAATTTTACTCTCTAATACAAGTATAGTCGGTGCATGATCAGTTATGAGTGAATCAAGAATAAGCGTTTTAGAACATCGATTTGATCTTAGCATCACGTGATCAAGACAACTAGTTTTACGCGTCGGAATAATATGCGTTGGAAGTAGACCATGAGATGCCATTAAGTCAATGTAGCTGTTACGATTTGGATCAGAACTATCTGACGCTATATTTATATTGATATCTCCAATTAGTATAACTGATTTAACAGACACTAATGAATTCAAGCAATTTTCGAGACCATCGCAAAAGTTATCAATATTGTTATATGATGGTGATCTGTATATAGCTATAATCGCAATTTCATCCCCTAAACTTAAAATAAGACTATTACAGTCATTTAATTTGGTCTCCAGCGAAGGTCTATGCTTAATTTCGGACTTAACATAAATTACAACTCCATCGTTCTGGTTACGGTAGCCTGAGGCATAAGATATATATCCAGGTATTTCTGGAACACTTAGCAGTTTACTCAGCCAGCATTCGGTTAAAACGAGGACGTCACATGGGAAAGAGATTCTCTCTAATAAAACATTAAATGCGTCAAAGTTACATGATATACTCCGTATATTCATGTGCATAACTGAAATAGATCCTTGTAATGTATCTATGTAATTAATAATAGATTCAGGACTACACACAATGAATTCGGATATTTCAAGAAGATCAATGTCATCAGATATATTCGTTATAGGATCACCTTTTAGAAGTACTAACAATCAGTTGTGTTGATCCGAAACCATAATAGCTCCCCCCATGAATGTATGAATTTTTCTAAGACAAGTATAGATTGTATAAATGCCGTATTTATTTTGTATAATGTGTGTGTGGTAGCCTTTCTCACAAAGAGCATTACTATTCGTGGCAATAGATTATAATTGTACTTACAATAAGAAAATGAAAATATGTAAAACACTAAGTAAATATACAAAAAATGCAAAAAAAATGTAACAGTATTTTCAAATATAAATAGTTACCAAAAAGAAATTGAGGCAGTAAATTTTGAGAGGCAGGTAGTCATTTACCTTGAATTTGGGACAGTTTCTGTAAATCAGTCTCCTTGTCAATGCGACGGCATGGAGCACCCTCCTTTTTCACGTAAGAATACCTTCCCATGCGCAGTCCAGCAGTAAGCATATTCATGGTTTTTACTGAATTCTCGCGCCATGAAGTAAAGTTTTCTAGCAGACTGGGTCAGACTTCCAGATATAAAAACTGGTTTGGTTTTTCCAACTATTTTAAGGTCACCAGTATTTAGTTTGTTTTCCTTGTTTGCCTAAGCTAAGGATTATAACAAGTATAATCCTTAGCTGAAGTTAATATATTCTCTTTTAGTGTAACTGTGGTAAAGTCCACAATTATTGGCTGATTATGTTCTTTTTTGGTTTTAAGACGAAAGATGTCCCGGATCTGTGATTCGTCTACACATACATTCATTGTTTCTCCAACTTTTTTTACTAGTTGCACCAGATCTTGCTTTGATTCTTTTTTTATGTAGAGGAATGTTTCTGATCTCAATACTGGCTTGCCTTTGTGACCTTTCCAAATTCTCTACCTTTTGTTCAAGACCCTGAATATAGGCTAAATGAGATTTCCTTTCTAATTCCAGTTTGGCCAATTTGTTTTTCATATCTTCATATTGCTTTGATATGAAATCCATTGATTCTTTGATGTCAGTGTTTTGCTGTTTAATATCTTTAATGCTTTCTTGTATTGTGTCTTGCTGCTTGGTTAAAATTGCAATGGATTTCCTTATTTCCACCATGAAAGAAGTTAGGTCGTCGTCATGCTGACGCTTACGGGGTCGATTTCTATTCCGATTGTTCACATTGGAGCTTTCATTATCAGTATCAGTGGGCGGGGCAGAACTTTGATTTACATCAGATTCAAGGACCTGCGGCAAGGACCTTTCCTGTTGAGGAGTGGACGGTGGAGTTCTTTTTAGTGGCATTTTCTTTTTTAAATCGCTTCCGCTTATGAATTAGGGCAAGCGACTCTTGTGACGTATTAGCACGAAGTTGGAGTGACGTCAGTAAAGCGAAGCTGGATAGTTATGCTCACTGTTGGTGTCTCTTTCATACGCGTTCGTCCACTCCGTCTCTTATCACTCAAAGGTTATGCAGTCCTAGTACTTTGACGAGAATAACGCGTTGTTATTTGAATTTAATTTATATCATAATGATGCGTTTTTGCCAAAAATCGGTAATACGGGGAGCACGTCTAAGCGCTTTCGCGGTCCAGAGGGAAGTATAAAATAGCGAGCGACCGCGTCGTGCGATAAAAAACCTGCGACTAATTATCATTTTTTTATTATTACTATTATAGTTATTTATTATTATTTGGGGTATCTATATAGTTTTCTCATCCGGTTGGGTTCTGTAAATATATAATTATAAATTAAAATAAGATAAATATACATAAATATCATTAATATAAAATAAATACAAAAAATACATAAATAAATAAAATAAAGGTCCAACCAGATGGATGCCCTCGGCAGGGGAGACTAAACGGCCGAGGGTTATGCGGAAAGGGAAAGAAACCGGCGGACAATGTGGGCGGTATCAAGGAGCACCGCCTTCTGCATTTGAACCCGGAACGGTCCGTCATGAAGTCCCAGTCGTCTGAGATGACCCGAGAAGCTGATTGGGATTAGCCTATTCGCAGAGATCACAATATGAATAATTTCGGTCGCCAGACGACCCCATTTTATTATTCTTTTTATTATTATTATTTAAAATTATTGTTAGAGATTAGGCTTAAAAATGTCCAAAGGTGAATTAGAAACATTTGTTTGTTCATTCAGCAGTGCAATGTTCAAATTCAAATTCAAATCTTCAAATTTTTTAAATCTCCACTGTTCCAGCACACACAGTCGCAGTCGCTTATTACAAGAATGTAAGACTTTATAGGAATGGTCGTTGGCTAGGTTGTATCCAGTGTCCAAGAGATATTTAGCAAAAGTGCGGATATAGCAGATTTAGAGGAATAATACAGTCCGCCGTCGGAGAAACAGTGTAGAGATGAGGTTGAGACGTGGATGGAACGTAGTCAAGATAAGCTGGATGTGTAGCAGTGCACCCGCGATAATGGTCAACGTATGCTTGCACAGTAAACACCGATGACAGAGAATGCCGGTGCCGAGGGAACAGTTCAGATGTTGGCAAGTGCATTGTTGGATCTAGCCTGTTCTTCGTTTAATGGACCAATGCCGACCTGTTTAGCCGTTTAAGTATACCTAGATTTACCTGTATTTTGTGGTGATCTGTTGTAGCGGCTGCATTTAAGGTTTAGGTTAAGGTTAAATAGCATGAGAAATCCACAGAATTATGATATTTTAATGCTTAGAAAAACCTACGGTGATTAGGGAAGTGTTTTATGCGACCGCAAAGGGCGCTAACTCAGGGCTGCTTCTTAGTACAGCGTCGGCAGACACAAGTATGTCTACACTTGAGCTGCAATCCGAAAACACTGAAGTAGTTTTATCACGCATAATGTTAGACATAAAAAAATGAAACCTATGTCACAAGAATATCATAACAAAAATTTGTCGCTTTCCATAAAAAACAGAAAGTTTTTTGCCTGAACCTGGCTCGTCGACATCCTAAGCCGTGGTTTTGTGATGATCCACCAACAAGCCATTAAGATCGTGGTAAAGATCGCCAGTCCATCAGGGTCTTAAAGAATAACTGTTTGAATCGCCAGTGTATGAGAAATGGCTAAACATAAGTAAAACTACTATAATTTGTACCTCGCTTTCCGCACACCACGCGGTCGATAAAGGCTCTGCATAGAGTTTATTGTACTGATCGTTATATTACTTCGAATCTTTAATAGAATATTATTTCTAATACTATTTTTATGGTTATACATAATATGTTATTAATAATATTTATTACCTTCTGACTGCCTCGTTGGTATAGTGGTCGTTAACAAGTTTGCCGATCATGACGTCTTGGGTTCAAATTCCAGATGATGCATAATCTGTCATTGATTTTTCTTTAAAAAAATTTCAATAGCAGGCCGAAGTCAGGAAGTTGGTAATGTTTCACCCGGTGCCATGAAAAGCACATAAAAACTTTGGGCCTGCACCTGATCTCAATCCAGTTATATCAGATAGCCGTCCCTTCAGACTATTACAATGAAGGAACAAAGAGTGAACTTGCCCTTGCGCATACACTCGTGTACAATAATCTTGTCTTGCGCAAATGGCTAGTCTCCATTGAGACTGGCCACTGTGACCAAACTCGGTATGGAAAACGTGGAAAGAAGGACTGTATGATAATTTAGGGTTTTAGTTTTGATTTCATTATTACGGTAATGGACATCATTCGTCAAAGTGCCAAGAATTTTGGCAGTATTCTCTCGCGAGCCAGTCTTACGAGAAAAGAACCAGCCTTCTTATCGCTAGCAGCTACGACCAGTCACGTTGCCTCCACAGACTGACAGTTCGTACAGCAAGTGGCACGAATATATCTTTCAGAGATTCATTTGTTGTGAGTGTGTAAATATTTGTACTATTAACACTATTAGTACTATATCTTCCGTCAGTAATATGTTCAATTGGTGGAATTTCACTTACACTTTACAACGTAATTTTATAACGCAATTTGCTTGCGAGCAAAAACGGTTGACGCTCCTTTATGCCCGCGTCGTTTTCCGTGGATTAATGACTCTTCGCGCTACTTTACTGCCACCACAAGAATAAAAACAGTAAACCTACCGTACTCTTTACCATTATATTTATATTCAAAGAATATTCATGCAGATTTTTAACTTCACAAAAAATAAAAAATATTTATTTAATCAGTTCAAAACTACACTAGTTATCCACCATCAGGAGGTTTGAGAGCTTTGTTATTCAGTAAGAGGAGGAGACAGAGATTATGGAGATTCAGTAAAAATCTGAACCGTTTTAAACCTGAACCGCTCTAAAATATTCCAATTGGTTGATTTTTGAGCTGAAAGAGCTCAAAAACTCAAGTAATAAAGTAAATAAAACGATTATTTAGAATTTTTTAAATGGCTATAAATTTCGAATGCTTCGTTCAATTTTGAATTACTTGGTGTCATTCGACGCAGTATTTAAAGTGCAAAATTTTTTTCTGGTATTGAGTCGATAGATCGAAAAATTTAGAAGTTATTTTTAAAAAAGCTATTATTTAGAAATTTTTAATTTTGACTTACTTGGTGCCATTTTATTATATAGTGAATAATGACACGCTAAGTGACTTCACTTAACGTGTACTAATAGCGTAGTGAGCTCACTTAGCGGTCAGCCGCCGTAGTGTCTACATTACCTGAAGATGTTTCGTGTAGAGGCGAAACACGTGTCGTATTATCGTCGATGGTGTGTCTTACCTGGAATAGTTATGTTGGGAGTAGTGGTGCTGGGACTAGTGGTGACGGAGTTAGTGAATGCAATTGAGGGAGGGCGGGAGGTGCTCTTCAATCCAGGTAAGACACATCATTGTATTTATTTAGCAGAAGGTTGCGAAGAAATTTATATTTTTATTTTTTATAATTCTGATAAGTTTTTAGTCTGTAGGTATTTATTTATTAAAGCATTTTCAAAATTTGTCGCTTGTTTAATTTTATTATCTTTTAGTTGTGTTTAGTTGTGTTTTTAATTTAGAAATTGACAGGAGCATAGTAGAATGATCCGTAGTGGTGGTCTGCATAACTGCAATTGATGCTTTATATTTAGATTTATTTATTTTTAGCATAAAGTGATCTAAAAAAATTTTGTTCTCTTGTAGGTAAAGTATGGCCGGGTAATATACCATAGTTTGCGAGCATGTCTAAGTATTTTATTTATTTTTCATTTATTTCATATATTTGCATAAAACATGGACAGATGAGGATGGTACAATTCTTAAACACAACATGTTTGCTATGTGATTGTGATAGTATGCAAATTTACATAAATAGCACATATACAAATGAAATTTTCTAATCATAATACAAAACAATTAGACTAAAACATATAAAATCATAAAGAAACAAAGAGTATCACTTCATTAAAAAATATATGTCATTTAAATTTAACAAATAGGTCTCTGATGTCATAAAATTGATTTTTATTGAGATAAGTCAATATATTTTAAATATCACCATAATAATTATTATTCGGTTTGATTTCATTTGGTATTTTATTATAGATTCGAATATACATGGTTAAACAGCTTTTACTATATTTGTTTAATCGCGGTACATCATCTAATACTAGTCTATTTGCATTTATTTTTGGTCTTATATTCATACCATATGTCTTTGTAAACAGTTTATTATGTTTATGTACGAAATTACAAACTTCGTAGATATACCGAGATGGTAGTGGCAACAAACCTAGGCTCCTAAATATTGGTTTGCAGGATTTATCCGGTGCGATTCCAGCAATAGCTCTAATGCATTTCTTTTGTGCAGTAAATAATCTCTGTTTATCTGTACCATTGCCCCATATTACAACATCATAACGTAGTAAAGATTCTATGTAAGCGTGATACGTTAGAACAGGAATTTTTTTGTCTGTAACATTTTTTTACTTTATTAAGTGCATAAACAAATTGGTTAATTCTACTGCACAGGTGATGTATGTATGTACATCTCCAGCTTAAATCTTGATCGATTATTACTCCTAGGAATTTAGTTTGTGTTACTTCGTTTAATTTGTCGACATTAAGATTAAAATTGTATTTTGTGTGTTTTGATTTATTAAATTGAATATAATTTGATTTATTAAGATTAATTTTTAAATTTTTTCTGTCTAACCATTTAATAATTGTATCAATTGTGTTGTTAATGTCGATTTCATGATTATGTATTGCATTATTTTGCTTCTTATTAGTGCTTACAATTATTGAAATATCGTTCGCGAATAAAATACATTTATGACTGGTGATTAGAGTTATATCGTTTAAATAACCTGTTAACCAAGCCTAGCTCACCTTC